CCTTTTCATATTGGTATTCTATTGCTCTGAAAATTATTTGATATCCATTGCTTCTTTTCTTTTCTTTTCTTTTTTTTTTTTTTCTATATTGCTCCTCCAATAGGAAAGGGGAATGGCCACAAGCATATGAATTTTTCTTTGGCCCTTTTGGCATGGCTAAATAGTTAGGCAGAAAAAATATGGGTAAAACATTTAAATATGATTTTGACAATGCACTTACATACTACAGCTACCGTAGTCACATCAATAGTGGTAATGCTGGTAGTTTTAGAATCCAAGAACAATTATGGTATAACAACTAACTACTTTGCATATAAATCTGTTTCATCTTCTTTTTGTAATGTTCTTTTTCTGTTTGTATCAGGTATATGGGGAAGCCTACGCCTGTCCTTGCATAAGGTCTCATCCACTTGATCCATATTTCGTGGCCCAATCTCATGGAAATTACATTGCAATTTTCTCTTCAAACCCCCCTTTCAAGCTAGACAAGTATAAAAGGTATGAAAGCCATGGAGTCTCTGGATTTCCCATTAAGTGCAATTTCAGCTTAGATGGGGAAAAGCTTGTCTCCGGCTCCTCAGAAGGTTCTATATACTTCTACAACTCTATATCAACAGAGCTTGTCCAAAAAATCAAGGCATACGAGCAGGCCTGCATAGATGTTGTTTTCCACCCCACTGTGCCTAATGTATTGGCTTCATGCAGTTGGAGTGGAGATGTGTCAGTGTTTGGTTAAGAAGCTTATTTATACACCTATAATCCAAGACAAAACAGAATTTGGGTCGGAAAAAAAAAAAAAAAAAAAAAAAGGACAAAACGATAGCTCATTTTGGTTATCCTTTTCTGGTTTCTTTCTTATCATGTTTGGTGAGTTGATAACTTTTTGTTCTTGGAATCTTTGTACAGTATATATGTTTCTGGATGTTGAGAGGGTGTAGATTTTGTTTTTATTGTTTCTACTAAATTAAAGACACATTACATCAGGGAAAATAACGGGAGACAATTCCTTGGGAACGCATGAAATCAAGCACTTTACTTCTTAAATTGTCTAAAAGACATGATTTCTGCATGACTCAACTGTGTGCTGCGCTCCGTTCAAGAGACAGTTCAGATTAGCTGTATAGGTTCAACAAGCTATTTTCAAAGTTAGGTTAATAGACACGTAATACATTGTTGCCTGGTATAGAGAAAACAGAAATTGGAGGCATGCGTCGTGAACTTTCTAGTAATCAATTGAATTAAGTCTAGATGTAGGAATTTATGTCAATTATATTTATAATTTCTTTAATTAATGGAAGAAAATAGAAAAGACCTTCAAGTTGAGCAATGTTACCAGCTAGCCAATGCAGGACTGAGGCATTGGTGCAGCTCAGAGTTCATGTCTAGGTGCTACTAACCTATACCTACCATGTTTTAACAAGAATAATTCACTATGTGGGGGCATAAAAAAAGCTGTGTGCTTTGTGTTCATTTCATCCATCCACTATACTTCTCTTCCAATTAGAGAGAAATAAAGAGGAAGAAATGGAAGGGAAAGAGGAGGAAGGGCGGGGGGGGCCAAAAGGGATACTGAAACAAGACATAATTATGCACCTCCCTTTTCATTCTTCCGGGGGGGGACAAAACACACCCCCTTCCCTTTTTAGATGGATTTGCAAATGGGTCCGATGAAAAACCCTCCGAGCAGGCCACCAACTTTTACACAAGCCAAAAAACCCTCAAGTCAAGAACTAATTAAAATTGCAAATTAAAACATTATTGTTCAAATGGGTCCAATAAAAACCCTCCAAACCATCAGCATTTACATAACAAAAATCCACAAGTCAAGAACTAATTAATAAAAATTGCGGAAAACCTTCACGCTTGCATCTCCATTTTCCACAGCACTATCTAGACATAGCAGCATTCTGTTCAAGAACATGCATGGTCCACACATAAGTATTGGAAAAAATTATATATACATACTGAAAATATCCCTAAACCTAATCCCATTTAAGTGGATGAAACACATTCATGCGACCTATATGCCTATACACGCATATTTTTTTTCAACTTCAATATGAATATGTTCCCCACCTTAACTGGTCTCCAAACCCTTCTATCTCTTTTTGTCATTCACCCATTTGTTTACATGAAAAGTTGAAAGAAATGGACCAAGAAAAAACAGGTAGAGATGGAGGAAAAAAAAAAAGTCAAGTTCAAGAGTATGCCCTAATGCTTCCCCTATTGCAAATGACTGCAATCATAATCTAAAAGAGAGAATAAGATAATAGATGATAGTACCATTTAAAAAAAAAAAATACTAATCTTTGCGTACTTGTGGTGAGCAAGAATTGGGTCCCTTTGGTTGCCATAACTGGGGACATGAAACGATGGGCTGAAAGGTTTTACCTAAGCAAATTGATTATGATAATTTTATTTGGGATTGGACATGAACTTCTCATGGTATAAATCAACTTTGATGCCTTTTGATTAGGGAACCAAAAATCAACACTTAAAAGGAATCTAAAACAAATGCTTATATTAATGGGGAATTTTTTGGCTTTGGAATCACATAATATATTACATCAAGTCTTCTTCATTATCTTTTGTTTCTTTTTTAATCTTTTCTTTTTGATCCATCTTGTCATGCCTTCTTCCTCTTTTAATTTCTTTCATCTTTAGATTAATGTTTATCCTCTCCTATAGCTACATGTTAGACCAAATCAAAATGCTTGTGCCTCCACACAAAGCCTAACATATCACTAGGTATATATCTTCCAATCCCAACCCTAAAAAGTGAACCGACCAACTCATTGTATTTGAAACCAACCAAGTTCCCAATTGGTTAGCTCTTGATCTCTTCTTCCTCCTCCTCTTCTGCTTCTTCTTCTTCTTCTTCCTCTTCTTCTTCTTCTTCTTCATCTCTATCTTCATTATATATATATATAT